ATAGTTTGTATTAGTTTTTTACTGTAATTATAATCTTTAATAAAATTACTACCCCCCAAAAAAGAAAATCTGTTCATTGGGTTAAAATTTTAGTGGATGCTTATTGGATATGAAACATACAAGGTAAAAAAATGCACATGGCTAGACTGTCAACAGGATTCCAAATTTTATACAAGCTGTTACCACATGTGGTCACCAGTTGGGAGTTAAGATGCTACCAAATGCATCTTTTCATATGGTAAAATATTTAACATGCACAGTTAGAGAACGTAAGCACTTATATACTCCTTCATTAGATTATGACTTATGAAAATAGGAAGAATTGGATCTAGAGTTGAAAACCCCTGCTTCTATTTTAGAAGATTTCTTATTTTGCAGGCAGAATGGGGAATTATATGGGGGGAGGGGGGTCAATTTCTTCCATCTCCAGGACAGCTCCAGGTTAACTACAGTATAGGAAATAGAAATAATACAGAAGTAGATGCAACTTTTTTTATAGAGATCTGCTGTTCCTCAGATTCAAGAATTATCAGTTTTCTTCTTCAATTCTTGTTTGGGAGAGGGTGTAAATTCTTCATAGTACAAATGGGAAGTTTGAAGGTAGCAAATTTACACACAGTGTTTTACTTGATCAACGTATTTCAGTAACTTAGTTCATACACTGCTCTAACCAATAATTTTATTCGCGCTTTATTTAAAGCAGCGATGCTTTATTCAGTAAATTATAACTCAGCAGAATTCCACCCCACAGTGGAAAAGTTAGTTCTCTAAGGATACTTGTTAGAGAAAAAACTAACTTTTTAAAGAGAACTTTTAGCAGCCCCCAAGGACACTACTGTACTGTAAAGGTGCTTTCTGTATTTTCCTGCCTGTCATTTAATATAAGTAGCAAGAAGTATTTTAATTGATTGGCTTCTGTTGCCTGATGGACACTAACAACATTCAAGTAAAAACAAAAGGCAGTGTCACAAGCTCTTCTGGTGTCACTGGTAAACTATATGAGATTTGTTTCTCAGGGAAGCAACAGAAAATATAACCACTGAAACTTTGGAATTTGCACTAATTAGCAATTTTCAAAATCACAGCACAATGACCTAAAGGATTCAGTGTTATAATTAAATATAATACAGTAAACCAATATAATACAAGCATGGAAGTATATTTACAAAACATGCATACTACTGAATTTAGACAAATTCCAAGCAATTTAAATTGGGATTGGCTTGCATGATGACAACTGAGTAGCATCACTGTAACTAAATAATACAGTAACTATTGCTTTGTTTCATCAAAACACAGAGATATTAGCACCATCTTCCTTAGGGCAATCCTATTGATTGTTTTGATAAATTCCTTTGACAGTCCCCCGATCATAGAGCAGGGCTCTTTACAAGCTTTATAGCAAAGTGACACAGAGAAAAACAAAGCAGGGTAAACGATATCAGCAACATCTGAATACGAGTCCGCAGTCACAGCTCGGCCCTGATTTCCGGTTAACAGCTAAGAGCAGGGCTGTGGAAACGCCAGCGATCCCCGATGCCCATTCGACCGACAGGGAAAGCAGTTGGCAGCTGGGAAATCAGATCAAGCGCTCAGCCAGATCCTAGTTCGACCCCAACCATTCAGCGCTGCTTGGGGAATCCTGGTCAGAGTTAGGATTCTGCCCGGAGAGGCGCACCGCCAGCGCATCCCCTGCCCAACGCGAAGGCGGCGGGGAACGGCATTGTCCAGCGGGAAGAAGCGCTGGCGCAGCCCCCAAGGACACCGCCTGCCACGCAGCCAGGGTGGGGCTTCTCAGCGAGGCTCCCCCACCCGGGAGAGAAACCCCGCGGGCTGCCTTCGCACGCGCCTTACCTGGCCGGCACAGCAGGGCGCAGACATGGTCGCCGCCGCGCAGCGCTCTCCCCGCACCTGCCCGCACCTTCGGGCGCCCCGCGGCCTCGCCCGCAAGTCGTCGTCGTCGTCGTCGGGCAGCTGCGGGGTCTCCTCCGGCGCGGAGAGCGCCGCGCTCAGCCTGCTGCGGCGTGGCCCCGACGCTCAGCCTTCCAGAGGCTGACCCGGCTCTTGCGTGCAACCCTCAGGGCGGAGGAGCTGCTAGCTCGAGCCCAGCCCAAACAGTAGGATTAGGCTTCCGCTGTCGTCAGTTTGCCTCTAAGGAGCTGGATGGCTTTCCGGTGCGGGGGCCGTGTTAGAAAAGAGGGAGAGGCAGAGCGTCGGGTGAATCCAGCAGCAGGCCACCTGTCCGCGTTCACACGCCCAGGGGCTCTCGCGGGCTCGGGGGTGAAGCGCAGGCGCGAACCCAGGCGGCTTGGGCTTCCCGAGAGAGAAGGGGGGCGAGGGAGGAGTTGGAGACGGGCGAGCGCGCTTGTTTACGAGAGGGAAGGGACGCGTCAGCCGGTTGCCTCCGGGGCTGCCCTCTGCGGAGGGGCTACTCCTGGGGTGGCCGGGCACCCATCGATCTCAGGGAGGAAAATGCCTGGTGGACTCCGCTGGTTGGGCGCCTCGCTTCACCCCTTGCGTTTGATTATGCCTCTGAAAGCGCCTTTCTGCTGGATGAGGCAGGAGCTGGCTTCTCGCGGTCCATTTATTTTTGCAAGGAAATCTTCAGAGCTGCTCATTTTTTCAAGCTTTGTGGGTGCTCTCTCATCTCTTTATAAAGTCTCTCTCTTTGTATTCAATTTGTACATATGCCTTATAATTTTTAAAACTATTTCATGCACTGTGTATTCTACTCACACTTGTATTTACGATGTTGTAAGCGTGTTTTTTCAGTCCCCTGACAAAGGTTTCTCCTCGAAATGCATTAAGACTCAATTACAATGCAGTCTTCCTTACACCAATTTTCCTTCTTTTCCATGTACAGTATTTGGGGTTTAATTCCCCCCTCGGCTCTCATCTTAATGATGGATTAAAAAAGACATCTTCAAGTCAAGGTAGATGTGAATGTCAGCCTAGCTCTATAAAAATTAGAATTCTGAAAATTATAAGGGGAATTCAGAGCATTATGAGGCACTAAATATAAGAATGGTCAGTCCTTATGTTCCTGGAGATCTCAGCAGTTTTCAGTATTTTCGACTAGAGCATCCTACTGGTGAGTTAAGCTTTTTAGAGCAATACTTTGCAGTGTTTATGGTTCTTCCTATTGAGACTCACTCAGAATATAGACTTATCCTGTTTCACACCTTGGTTGTTGGCCACTGATGCTCACAGAGCTCTGTGTTTTCCTGTATGCTGTTTTAAAAGTACATGAAATTGTTCGACACAGTCACTCAAAGCTTTGGAATGGGGGATCATTATCACACTGAAGTCAGGTAGCTCATAGTTTGTTACTCTAAAGCAGTGTTTTTCAAACTTGGCAACTTTTAAGATGTGTGGACTTCAACTCCCAGAATTCCCCAGCCAGCACTGGGAGTTGAAGCCCGCACATCTTAAAGTTGCCAAGTTTGAAAAACACTGCTCTAAAGAGATCTGAAAAATGTAGCAGAGGGCATTAGAAAGCTCCCCTTCAAGGAAAAACTACAGTGTTGGACTCAGACTAGACAGCAGGTAAAGAAATAGGTACATGCAGTGGTAATTATTAGAAATTTTTCACAATATTAGAATGGGTTAAAAGTAAATGCAGGGATGTTCAGGATGCTTCTTTACCCAACATCTAGTGAACTATAGAATTTGTTGTCCTCCAATGTGATGAGCACCACCAATGCTGATAGTTTTAAAAGGGAACCAAGCCATTCATGGCCAATAGCAGCATTAGTGGCTAGTCCTGATGCTTTCACTGTTAGATATGAATGGGGTTGCACTACCCCAGATAGAACTGATGTGCAGTTTGGGGTGTCCTCTAGACTTCTGTCTCCTGCTTTAAAAAAAAAAAGCAGGTGGCAGCTGTGACCTCTGTACATATTCATCTTGTGTCCCAACTTTTTACATTCCTGAATTGGGGGATTGCTACTCAGTCATTCATGTCTTAATTTTCACCTGGACTCCTGCATCATGCTCTACATGGGGCAGCCACTGAAGACCACTCAGAAGCTTCAGTTAAACCACCTCAGTATTCTCATGTAACACCACTACTGGCTTCTGGATGTTTGTGGGACCATCTACCTCCAGTTATCTCTGCCAGTCCTGTAAGATCTGACAGGGCTAGTACGTTTGAGGTACCATCAATTAAAGTGCATCAGCTTGTGGCCCTTTCCTTCCCAGCACCTGACCCATGGAATAACCTCTCTCCCTCCCCCCATTGCAAATTCAGTTGCTCCCGACCCTGCTGGCCTTTAAGGATGCCCTGAAGACTTGGTTCTTCTCCCAGGCACTGGCTCAAGATGGTATAAGCACCCGCTGTAACTATAGGAGTTGTGAGTCTGGTCCCCCGTGCAGTATGTTTTATGTTATCATTTTGCTTTGTATTTGATGTTTTTAACCATAGTTCGCTTCCCAGAGTTGCCTGGCAAGTGGGTGGCCATATAAATTGAACAAACAATTCTATAATTACCTTTTCAATTATAGTAATTATATACCAGTTGCTAGAGACAGCAGTGGAAGATGGTTGATCAATCACCCAGCCTGTTTTTGGCCTTAATGCATGCATTAGTCTGCACTGTATGGCACAAAATATTGCCCTAATTAGGCCTCTGCCTGATCCAGCATGATATTTTTATGCTCTTAATGAAAAAAGTACTGTCAAGGAAATAAGCACATCTTAAATTGCACCATGCCTATTAATGCTTGGTAGGTCATTCAGGAGCAAAACTCCAGAGAACAAAGTAATTAATCAAGATCACTGTAACAAGATTCATGGTAAAGAAGTTGATAAATACATGTTCAATACTTGGCCGTGAAAATGTGTGATGTTTTGAAGAAAAAAAAAAGATGAAACTTAAGTTGAAAATATATGAGCTTATTCAGTAGTAGAACCTAAATCTTATCCTTTCCTTCTCCTTCCTGTTATTTCTTCTGTCACTCAAGCATAGTTAGTAAGTTCTTCACGGACAGGTCCTATTGGTTTTAGTGCTGAAATCATATAATTACTATTGGGAGATTATTGCCTGAAAAGACAAGGTGGATTACAGCTGCCATATGGAATCAAGCTAACAGCTCCTGGGAATGAAATTTAAATATTGAAAACAAGTCAATGCCATTTCTACAGAAATAAAATTGCTTACGTATACATTTGAGTAGATTCACATAATGTTTGTTCACATAATGATTCTAAGCCATGTTTGTTTTAACTATGATCTGTGGAATAAGTCACAAATGGCTGAGTTTATCCAATGTGCTAAGCCATAAACTACAATAACAGGTTCACATGTCATAGTAAACCAAATCAAAACCATAAACATTAGCTTGTGAGGATTTGGCATTCCACTTTAGTGTAGGTAAGATAATCAGCATCCACACGATGCTGGAGAAATCAAGAAAACCTTATCCTCTTTCAATAATTGCCATATAATGCCTAAAGCTAAGCAAAGAGATGCTTTGTAATGCATGGGAATATGGACGACAGACCTCTTTCCAAATAATTAAAGCAGCCACATTTTTGCAAGGCTTTGGTGGACTCCTTCAGAAGCTGGTCCCAGCTGTCTCCCCATCATCACAGGCACCTGCCATCACTTCACTGTGCTGCCAAGAGAATGGAGTTGGAGTGGCTGTTTCCCTAGGAAGAAAGCGAAGTGACTGTGCGCACATGCATGGGAAGAAGCTTCTGAAATCTCTCTGGAAGCCTTGCAAAAAATGTTGCTTTGATGATTTGAAAAGTGCTTCATTCTTGCTCCCGAGCATTGCAAAACACCTCTTACACAGGCCTAATAATTCCCTGAAGAAATCCTATTTCATAGATATGAAAATCCTAGAATGTCTTGAGTGGGAAACGTAAAATGGTTATGTAATGAACAAATACATCCACAGCTTTTCCAAAGACATTCCAGTAATCTCTGATTTAGTTCATCCATTTTATCCATTGTTACATCTTTACTTCGCTCAATCTTGTGAAACAGTTCGTTTTTCCAATCCAACATCTGCTCTACATCATGTGTTCAAAATATTTGAGTTTCTGCTGGGTAATCTGGTTGCTTAAGGAGCAAGCAGCTTTATTATAGATACTGGAGCATATTGTTAGAACAAAAATATTTTGGCCTTCTGTCTGCCTAATGTGGATATTTGGAAAACAGTTTCATTTCTAATCTTTGCATTTGCAATTATTTATAATTTTCCAATTCATTCAGCAGAAAACTATGCTGAGTGTTCATGTATTCACACTTATATATTTTTACTTGCCAAGTCATTTTTAGTATTTTTATTTTTCTTTTTTTAAAAAGTGGTAATAAAATACATGGTTATTATGTACTGAAACACTACACACATATTACATACATTTACAAATGTAGCTTTCACCCATTTTTAATTGACATCTCAGTTCTCACATTTGGTCTTTTCGGATTTCATAGCAGCAGAAATGTTCAAGTTCCTCATTTCCATGGTTGTCAAAAAACCAGTTTTTTGGGTAACCCTGGATAGAAAAAATACACACGCACATCAGTTCAGCAAATTACTATTTCCTGATCCTTCTCAAAACTTTATTATATTTATGTATTCTTGCTAATCTTTAGAATCAGTTGGGAATATATGAAAAACATGTTTTACTATACATTCCCAATCTGAATGTGGGATTGTGGAGATGAGGAATGTCCCTCTTGATTTTAAAAGAAAAAAATTATATTCAACAAATACAAATGCTCTCTTGCTTTATATCTATATTGGACTCACGAAGTCCAATACAGTTTGCTTCCAAGTGATAAAATTCACTGCTTTTGAACAATATCAGCAAAGATTTTCTAGTTTTAGGACTGGAAACAGATATGTAATCTCTGGATTTTTCCTGTTTCTGACATAGAACTCATCAAAATTTAATCTAATTTAAGCAGATGGCTAAATTCCTCTCATATAATCTCATACATATCAAATTGTGAGGCCTTTTAGAAGGTTTCTCTGATAAAAGCAGCCTAGAAATGTTTTAGATAAAAACATTTTAAATAATGGCAGCACTACTTGAACTTTTAAACCAGAAATGGAAAACCCATTTTCCTACTCCCTTAACTTTGGGCAAATCATAAAAAATGTTTACTTTAAACACTAGAATGGTGTGGTCAACAGCCTCTTTGTGCATGTGTGCATGTGCATGAAAAGTAAAGATGATGACTGTGTGTTCAAAGCTCTGTCCCTATTTATGTGTGTGGAATATGCAGCACACATAAAAATGGATAGGGCTCTGATCACACAGTCGCATCTGTGATCATGACTTTCTTAACCCCTCCT